CAATGGGAAGCATAGCGAAGGTATGGTCAATTACCATGTTTGTATATTATTAGATAGGATAGAGGCCTGGTGCATGGTTGGGGTCCTGGGTTGGGGTGGGGGTCCCTGCTGGGGGCAGGCTGGCCTGGGTGAGGGGCCAGGGGTTTTTGCAGGCCTGCCACACCCCCGATCATTTTGGTCTCTGGTCGTTCTGGTTGTTCTGCCGTTTCAGTCACTGGGCTTTTATTATATAGGACTAGAGGCCTGGTGCACGAAATTTTTGCATGGGGGGGGGGGGGCGCGTCCCTCAGCCCAGCCTGCACCATCTCTAATCCGGGACCTCTCGGGGATGTCCAACTGCTGGTTTAGTCCCATGGAAGGTGTTTGCAGTCACCAACCTACTGGCTACACTAGGGGATCAGGCCTAAAATGGCTGGCTCCTAACCGCTCATCTGCCTGCCGGCCTGATCCCCCTAACTGCTCTCCCCTGCTGGCCTGATCCCCCTAACTGCTCTCCTCTGCTGGCCTGATCCCCCTAACCGTTCTCCCCTGCAGGCCTGATTACCCCTAACCGCCTCTGCCTTGGCCCCGCCACCATGGCTTTGTCTGGAAGAATGTCCAGAAGGTCGTCCAGAAGACGTCCAGTCTAATTAGCATATTACCCTTTTATTAGTATAGATAGGGAGAACACCATGTGAACATGAAGATGGCATCTAGAGGCCAGAAAAAGACCCTTCTCTCAGAAGGAACCAATGCTACTGACACCGTAATCTGGGATTTCCAGCCCCCAGGTCTGTGAGACAATAAATTCTGTTTAAGCTTCATAGTCTGTGGTACTGAGTATGGCAGGCAGCCCTAGCAGGTTCATACACCCTGCCTTCATGGAGAACCCAAACTAAGACAATTTTGGTTGGGAGTCATAATACTGAGAAAGGCTGACATTAAGAGAAAACCAAAGCATAAGTTGGCTTAAGATCACTTCTGGGAAGTCTTTCCTGACTCACCCCACCCCTCTCTCAGTAGAATTGGCTGTCCTTTGGCTCCTACTGTTTTCTGTCTTGTTGCTATCACAGCTACTAACACACACCTGCACCTATTCATTTGCATGCCGACAACTTCTGAAACATAAAGATGAGAACCAGTGCTGTGCTAGTAATCGCTGGATTCCAATACGACTCCTCCCCTAATTTAAAAATGTAACTCCTGACTGTTAGCTAAGCAACTGAATGCCCAGGTAGGGTCTGCATCTCCCAGCCACCTCACAGCTGGGTGTGACTGTTCTTGCCACTAGGCTATGACCAAAAGTGATGCTTTCTTCTAGTAATACCCATGGAAGGAGAGGGAGGTGGGCTCCCTGGCCTTCTCCCTTTACCGCTGGTGTGGGGAGGACACAACTGCAGTAGTTGTTAGAGTAGAAACGGGAGCCTCATGTTGGGGATCACTGAGCCACCCGGGCCATCTGCCTCTCAATTTTTCTGAAAAAGAAAACTTCTTGCTTCAGGCACTGTATTTTGAAGTCTCTTTATTCCAGCGGCCTAGCTTCTGCCCTAATAATTTATTTCCTTTCTCTGATTTACCAGGAAAAAGAGAATCTTTTGTCTCCCTGATGTGAGGTTGTGGCCACCTCAACCTTGACAGAGCACTTGTGGGACTAGACTCCCAGATCCTCGGAGTCTGGTTCTGGTGTCTGTCTTCCACAGTTGGCGGAGGCAGATGGCCCGTGACATCGCCTCAGGGGAAGGAAAGACGCTCTGCACAGCTTTCCCGTCTATCTACAGAGAGCAATCGCTCACCATGGGCAGGCCATGAAAGGCGGCATGAGAATCGGTCCACTTCACAGTGAGCCATCAGGAGGATGTCTGCAACACCAGTGGCAAGTGATCACTGCACGAGGTGTGGGTCCCAAGATAGCTCAGTGCCTGCACTACAGACCCTGGCCTAGAAGATGCTCTGCTCCTCTCAGAAAGACCAGGTCCAGCCCAACCCCAACTCCTGGCAGAGACATGCTCACCATCTGAGACAAATGGGGTGAGGTGCTGCTAATCTTTTAAAAAAAGAATTCTAAATCCTCACCCAAGGACATGTTTACTGATTTTAGAGAAGGAGGTGGGGGGTGGGAGAGGACAAAGGGAGAGAGAAAGATAAAGACAGAGAGACATCGATTGGTTGCCTCCTGTACATGCCCTGACTGGGGATCGGACCCACAATCTAGGTATGTGCCTTGACCGGGAATTGAACCCACAACTTCTGGTGTACGAGGTGATGCTCCAACCAACTAAGTCACCTGGTCAGGGCAGGTGCTGCTGCTCTGTAAGCTGTAGTCAGCTGCCTTAAGAGAGGATGGTAAGTCAGCAACATAGATTTCCTCTGAAGGGAGACCTTTGACATTTAGAAAGAATCAAATGCATGAAAATATTCTCATTTAGGGGAGACAGAGAAGGAGAGGATGCTGATGAAATGGGACTTGTAATGAGGGAGGGGCAGGGAAGTCCTGCCCTATTAGCAATGGTGTGAGCTCCCAAGAATAGCAGGGAGGGGACTGCATCCAGTATCTGGTTTACTTAAGAATTACCAGAAACAGGTGAATTAAGAAAAACTGGTTAGCTTGGGAGACTGCCTGGATTAGGAAATCAAACCTGGAGGAAAAGGGCAGGTGAAGGAAGAATCCCAGGTAGAGCACGACATCCCCCTATTTTGAGAAGGCACTTTCCCAAGAGGAGGGAGAAGTGTGTTCACCTACGGGTCGCTCCCTGAGCCATACTGGCGTGGTCTTTGCAGATAGAATTCAAGCTCAGTGACGGTGATACTGTAAACACCAAAAAGGCGAATCTGGAGCAGCCTCACACAGGACTCAGCAGAGCCTGGGGTCAGAGAAGAGCGAGGCTGGGATTTACCAGCCCTGGGCACTGGCAGTGTCTTGCAGGAAGCTCAGGGCCTTTCAAAGCCCCGGGTAGTGAGCATGCAGTTGCCCATCACAACAGCCAAGAGTCTGCCCTTTCATCTTTGGAGAGAAACAATCAGCAACCTGACAGGATTCTGGCAGAAGCAATTAGCTCATGAATTAGTTATCCAATATCTCATGCAGCCAAGGTCTTAGAAGTGCTGATCTGCATACTCCCTGGGGAATTAGGCCACAAAGGGTAGGCCACCTGCTTCAATTTGCATTAGGGTTTTGGCCAGTCTGTCCACCCCTCCCCAAGCCCTCCCACCAGACACACATGACACTCCTTCCTCTAGCATCACTGTGGACCCCGACATGGTCTGCCACATCAGCCTCCAGCTCTGGTAACTCATCTCCCACCACCCTCGCTCTCACTCACTGCCACAGGCACACTGGTCTCCTTGATGTGTCTGGAACCTGATGTGCCAAGCTGATCCTGACTTTCTGTTCACACTCGCTGATGCCTCTGTCTGGGATGCTCTTTCCTTATCTGCAGCTTGGCTGGCACCCTCACTTTCTTTGGATCTCTGTTCAAATACCATCTACTTATTAGAAGGCCCTCCCTCACCCCTTGCTCCCTGTGCATCCTGGTGATGCCCTTGTTTTTCCCCCAGCAGGCATCACCAGTGATATATGATGTATTCTCTTGCTTGACTGCTTACTCTCTGGTTCCCTGCATTAGATGGTCAGCACCATCAGGGCAAGTACTTCCCCCGTTTTGCTATTTCCCTGGTTGAGTGAAGACTCTGTAGCCTAAAATACAAAGAAAAGCAATGAGGATCTAAATATCCTGCCAGCTGCCTCTAGCCTGTATGACGTACAAAATAAAGACAATTCAACCTTTAGAATGTTTATTCGGCAAGTGTCTCTTGTCCTTCACCTTCCTTCCACTGGCATGTTCCATGGGTTCTCTCCCTGAAATCCCTTCCTTCCTTCTCTCCTTCCTTCGCCAGCTGCGGCCCAGTGAATACTTAGTAGGTACCAGGTATTACCTCATACATTATTCTCCTCTTACCTAGTCCTACTACTGTTCCCTGGGTGAAGCTTCACTAGCTCCCACCTGGTCAAATGTGAATCTCCTACCCACGGCCATTGCCTCCTTTTCCCTTCTTTCGTTCATCCTGTTGGACTCCAGATAAATTTCTCTTCTTTTCCTGCCTCAAAATTCTGCAGCGACTTCCTATTGCCTATTTAATTAAATAGGAATTATCTGAGATTTGAAAACCCTCCATAAAATGTCAGTTTACTCATGAGCACCATCTATTTTCAGAGCATATGCTTTAGCTAAACTAGCCCAGTCATTTTTTTTTTAATGTGTCCACATGCTGTCCCCATCTCTGGAAATTAGCACAATTTCTGTCTGCCCAAACTGTGTCTTCCAAATGCCACCGCCAGGCACCTTATCACCCCATGTAGCCTCTCCCACTTTTGAACTCTTATGACAACAGGTTTATGCAGTTCTTTAAGTACCTGCCATAGTCTTCCTTGAGTTATGGTTATCTGCAGGGAAAAAGTTCCTTATCTCACCCAGTAGAAAACTCTGGAAGGGGAGAATTGTATTTTATTTACCTTTTTTTTTTCTTTACCAGCAGCAGCTAAACTAGAATCTTGCTCAATAGACATGCTCACTTGCTCTTTGCTGAATTAAAATTCTAAGCACAATGCATCCACACCAGGCCAGGTGCTCAAAGACTTTAAAAGAAGAACAGAGTGCAGTGTTTGCCCTACGAAATTGACAGTCTAGTTATAAAGACAAGTTTGCTTTATAAGATTGCAAATTTTTATTCAACTTTCAGTGAGCACCTACAGTTTGCTAAATATAATGCAAGGCGGTATCTCATGGTCAAGATTAGTGATGCAGAAAATAAATACTTATAGATTCTAGGGATATGTATTCTAGGGGTATGTCATGGGTAAACTGACATTTTATGGAGGGTCTTCAAATCTGAGATAATTCCTATTTAATTAAATAGGCAATCAAAAGTCACTGCAGAATTTTGAGGCAGTGAATACATTCTTTAGTCCACCCCAACACGGACTAAATGCCAACTTTGGCTTGATGAAGCATCGACAGGCTTACCTGGTGACCCTGCATGCTCCAGGTGGCCCAGCTGGGGCTGTCTGGTGATTCTGTAGGTTAGTGCTGCCGGCTCGCTCTCCTGGTCAGTGGCAGAGAGCTGCAGGGTGGTGATTTTCTTCACTGAGTTTTCATCTAAGACCATTCCTTTATTGGTGGTGATGACCGGTGGGTATTTGTCTTCTGAAAATATTAGAAATAGTGATTTGAAATGGGATATTTTTAGCCTCCTTTCTTCAATTCTGGATCTGGTGCCCGGGGGTAAGATCAGAATAGCTCTCAGAGAGAGATAGAGACAGAGATAGAGATAGAGATGAGATAGAGATAGAGATAGAGATAGAGATAGAGATAGAGATAGAGTTAGAGATAGATAGAGATAAAGAGAGAGAGATAGAGAGAGAGTCCCAAGGAGCCAGAGCTTCACACAGCAGTGGGGACATGATCTCAGATTTCCTTACTGGTTGGTTAAAGGAAAGGCTCAGCCTCAAGGTAATCACAGTATAGATTCTTTAACTTCAGAACCACTGATGTATTTTTAGAGACCCAATGCCCCCTTACCCAAAACAATGATGGAAAATGACTGGCTGATCAATTTGTTGCCTTCTCCATCAACCACATCAAACTTAAAGTCAAAGTTCCCACCAGATTCTCCTCTTCTGTGACTGTATTCTACCTGGCCTGCAACAAGAACAACAACAACAAAAATCAAGATTTGCTATTAATGCTTTCTGCTCTTATTTCTGAAGTGGGAGGTGGTAATTCGATTGGTATCCATACTAAGGAATCAATTAACACTCTCCTGACTTCGACATTATTTTTGACATTTTAACCTAAAGTTTTCATTTCCTCATTTCCTCTCCCACTCTGGGCTTCCTCCTGTTAAAATCACCTGAAATAGCATTGCTTATAGCTGGGGCTCGGCTTTTGGGAAAGAGTCTGAGGGTCTCATGTATAACTCGATCAGCAAAACTGCCCATGTGGAAAATGTGCGCTGACCACGCCCACGTCACTGGTGTGACCCTGTATATACCCATGTCATGGGAGAAGAGGCTGAAGCGCTCAGCCCACATTCTCCTAGAAAGCATCACTTCCACTTCCCAATACAGCCTTACATCATTTTTGGAACAACACAAAATATAACCAACCAACAAGTAAATAGATAAACAAACAAATAAACTCTACACAGAAGTCCAGTGGATCCAAAGGGAGAAGTGCAATGTGTCACACTGTTGTGAACCCGCCAACTTCACTTCTAAGTACCCAGCAATGCAACTAGAACCAGATCTCTGGGAAGAGGGGCCTCGTCTCATTTTTAAAGAGACACTGATGCAAGGAGTAATTAAGGAATGACTATCCCTTTGCTTATTCTGCCCCCTTTATTAAAGTACAGACAGGTCCAATGAGAATTAGGCTGCTACCACTTTTACGTGTGAGTACATGGACAGGACCCTTATTTTATGCTCCTTGGGGGCATATTTCCACCTCGAAATGGAATTGCACATCACCACAAGATGTTGGATTACTTTCCCCCACAATATGCAACACCCCCCCCTTTTTTTTTTTACCCCTGAAAGCACTGTGCAGTAACTGCGTAGCATTTAACATTTATGCTTTTACATGACATCAGCATTTCCTGGAGGAGGGATGAGCTATGTAATCTCCCCTAGGCACCTCGATTTATGCCCTTCCATTTTGCTTAGTTCATTAACTTGCGCTCTTCGGGGAGCTGAAAAGAGATATAAATTGTTCACCTAAGGCAGGCATAATTTTCACCCAAATCCATCCCAATTCACTTCTTTTTCCTTTCCCTTTCTCACATACACTTTTTAGCACTACAGCAAGTCAAATGATTTTTCCCTCTCCACAACAGCCCCAAATTTCATCAATGCTATGTCAAAGGATGAACACATTTTAGCCAAGAATGATAGTTTTTTAAAAAATTGAGGAGTCAAGAAAGAATAAATGGAGCTATAACTCAGTTCTTATTCAAAACAAAGAGTGTACAGTTGCCTGCCATAGGCTACCAGGCATTTAACTCCCACTCGCTATTGTGGGTGGAGTCTGAGGAAGCCTGGGTAGGCTGAGGACCCCTGGATGACCTTGGCTGATGTCAGCCTGCGTGAAACTCCGGATGGGGCCTTTGACGGAGATTTGCTCCAGGTTGCCGTGCTTCACTGTCTGCAGGCGCCCAGCACCAGGATCTTCCTTCATAATGAACATCACCTGACTTTCATCTGAGTCAGTGTCTGTCACTTTCAAGTGCTGTTCTGTGATGCGTGCTGCAGACCCTGGGCAAGAATAGGAGATGCAGGTCATTCCCCATCATTGCCTTTGAATAGGACGTCAAATGATTTCAGGAGATGGCTCTGGGTCTAGGCAAGTAGAATGTACTTGCCCTTCTGTTTCCATCTCAATAAATGTTAATTTCCCAACCTCCCAATTTGCTATCAGCTGTTGAGTGTAAGTCTAAGCCCCCTTTCTCTCCTGATCCACTCTCACTCTCTATGTTTGCTCTAGTTCCACAACCTATTAGTTAACCCTATAATAAAACTTGCTTGGACCTAATTTATTTACTGCCTTGAGGATCACCAAATCATAAACTCACAAACATATCTGGTTGCCATCTCAGACCAAATAGTCAAAAGCATTGCTCCTCAAGACAGAAGATATGGTGAGGTGACAGAGCAGGGGGAGCCGAGTGCTGGGCCCTGTGAGGCTGCACAGCTGTTGGGGATGAAGGCAAGGCACTGGTTCCTGGCAAACACCTCTTCTGAGGGCCTCACCCTTGCTTTTCTGTTCAGCCGATTTCTCATATTACAAATAGTAAATTCTGGTAAAGTAGATCCTAGTCACCCAGGTGTTGGAGAGATAGTCCACCATGGGCCCTGGGTGCCCCTGCATTTCCTGCTGGGGAATGCAAAGAATGCAAGGCCTGACCACTCGTTACCCAGGCCATTCTCAGGGATGAGGTGATGCCTTCCCCTGGGACAATGATCAGGCTTGCATATTGCTCAGTGCTCCTCTACTGAAATGCATCCCACTGCGGGCGAAGGTGTCCATCTGGGCCCTCTGCACCATCACAAGACATGGAGGGCAGAGAGAACCAAAGCAAACTTCCAATGGCAATGCTGCCTGTTGTGCTGTGAGTAACAGAGCACTCTGTCTCAGAACCAGGAATCTTGTGTCTTCCACTAGCACCCATGAAACAGAAGCAGGCTAACTAAATTACTTGTAAATAGGGTAAAGTTAAATCCAAGAACTAATACTTGGGACCTTTGGGAATCTCCAAATTTTATTTCTTAAAATGTGTTGCTTTTTTAAAATTTATTTTTAGAAAGAGAAGAAGGGGAGGGATAGAGAGATAGAAACATCGATGAGAGAGAAACATCATCAATCGGCTGTTTCCTGCATGCCTCCTACTGTGGATGGAGTTCACAACCCAGGCATGTGCCCTGACTAGGAATCGAACCAGTGACCTCTTGTTTCATGGGTTGACACTCAATCACTGAGCAACACCAGCCAGCTCTCCAAATTTTCAAGTACCGTTATATTATTTTTACTACAGAATACATGGGAAACTAAGAAGAGACTAACAGAACTCCAGTGGAATGTAGCTGCTCTGAGGGTAAAAGGCCCACTCCCTAATTAACCATGCTAATGCAAACTGACTCTAAGACTGACAGGTGTCACAGCTTCTTCGGGGTTGCTTATATATGCATACACAAAATTGTATGTATAAAAATTACCATAGCAAATGAGTCTCAATTATTTGCACAATCTTTTTAGTGAATGACAGTTTCCCAATTGCCCCACCATGCCAATTTTTTTTTTTTTTTTAATAAGCATGTTGAAAATCCTACTGGATTTCTTTTGTTGTTTCTATGTGGGATTGGTTGGGCAGTGGCAACGTTCACCCTTAGAAATACTATAAACTCTTCTCAATCTTTTCTCAAATTCTGAAAAGGCTTCTGGCCCAAAGAATTTCAGAGATTCACATTTGTCACAACTTTCAGCATCCCTAAAGCAACAGTTCTCCCCAACTCCAGTCTCCCTGAGTTCTGAACCCTTAGCTTATAACCTCCTACAGAGCTAACGTGGAAGGAAGACTTGCACTCTGACAAAGAACCATACCACTCTCTTCCATCCCTCTGGTACCTGCTGAGAGCTGTAGGCCTCGGTTAACAGCCAAGTGGGGGGCGTCACCCGTAGGCAGCTCAATGTATATCTCCATCCTCCCTGTGTCCATGTGGAGTCCATCAGAGAGAGAGAACCAGAACTCATCCACCTCCACACCGGGCCCACCAGGTGTGTACCCCACCAGCCCACCCAGGATGTCCTGGTAGGTGAAGGAGGAGCCCTGGTCTAAAATCCTCCCATTCTCCAGAAGCTCAGAAGCAGTCTGCCTCTGGCGTAGGTGACCTGAGAAAGGAAGAAAAACAAAGAGGCAAAGGTAAGAATATATATGGCACCAAAACACTGCCTGATTGTGTCAACCAGTATGACCCTGGAAGAGTGTCAATCACCTCAGAGGCTCTTGGTGACACATACATAAGTGACCAAAAACTTAGCATCTTATAAATAAGCACAGGATGCTTCCCTGTGGCCTCTTCTACAAATAAAAAAGATAGAGCCCCACTTTTCCTTAAAATCTCTTAAGGAGACACAAATGGATGTGGTAATCTAATGGCTTAGAAATCAAATCCCACTCCATGAATTCAAACTCATTTCATTATCTAAACCTTATTTTCCCCTTATGCAAAGTGAAAATAGCACTCCTCACTCGCTGCCTTCCTCCCAGGGCATCTGGGATAGGAGATAAGGATGTGTTTTGAATTCCTTTTAAATTCAGAAAGACGCCAAGCATCTTTGGGTTGAGACATAATTTGCTGTTTTCGTGGGTCATGTGTACCACAATGAAACAGTTAACATGCTTCATTAAAGAAAGTAAAAATGAATGAAGGCAAGATAAAATGCAGCAACCCACAGCCTCTTCAATTAACCCTCCATCAACAACAACAGTTTCATCTTTAAGAGACCAACGGATGTTAGGATGGACCCTTGGGAGATGAAAATTCCAGCGTTAGCTAATACAGGGGGATGATGCTTAGGAAAGAATTAGGTAGAAGACCCCGACTTAAACCTCTGGTTTAATCAGGAAAAGTGACTTTTTGTGTGTGCAAAAGTTTATAAAGACATCTACCATGCCTCTAACCTGAAATGAACACCTTTTGCAATTAATAACAAGGCTGTTCCTTGCCTAAGATGGCCACAGATTACCAAGCAATGATGCTTTCTCTGAAAAGAGAATTTGCAGCTTCTGAAACCTGTTTTGTCTGAGGTTACATAGAAAAGTGAGAAACAGCTGAAATTGAATTTCAGAAACACCAATTACCTAGGATTCAGGCTTTTAGAGCAACTGGTATCTTCTGTGAGCCCAAAGAATATCAGTTAGCTGTCAGCTAGCTGTGATGTTGATTTGTATGTAGATGCAAAGAATGAATGAAATACAGGCAAGGCAGAGAAACAATCCGCTGGAATCTATGTGTTCATTCTAATAACCCATAGGGCACCTCAATTAAGGAACTTTATACAGCAGTTGCGTCCTACCGTGGTCAGGCTTTTTTGTCAATACAAAAATCAGCTCATTATCTGGGGTGTCCAGGTCTTGCAAGCTCAAAGAAAAATTGCTTATCACGACTCCCGAGCTCAGCTGCACGCGCAGGGGCTGCAAAGTCATCCTGGGAGGCTCATCATTCTTCCTCTGATTAAAGCACAGAATATTAGGTCTCATACAGGTGCCGGTTTAAGAAGGGAAAACGCACATTATTCAGAGGAAGTAATATTGGTGCGCCAACTTTCACTACCAAAATAGCATTTAATGTGCCACGATGTTTAATTCCCAATCAAAATGGCTAGTTTCCAAGGAGAGCAAGTCGCACAAACAAAATGTCCCCTTGCAAAGAAACAGGAACAGGAGGACATTCTACACAAATCTTCTCAGATCTTTTCCACATGTACAATGATCATATTTCCCAGACCACAAAGAAAAATGGGCATGTGGTTAGGCCAGTACAAGTACATTTGGGGGATAAAAGGACACATTATTTGAAATCAGAACTGTCTTAGAAAACCCCAAGCATATCATAGTGTCTGTAGGAGGACACCACATTTGACAGTGTGGGTTTTTAAAGTTGTCTCCTTGCTCTTATGCCAGCGCCACCCACATCACTGTCCCTGAAGGGTACTAAGGGTACCAGCTGTTTTATTTGCTCAAGGTAGAGGGTATTCCATTCTGAGTTTTTATCTTTTTCTTTCTCTCTCTCCCTGGTAGAGCAAGCCTAGGTAGTGCTCCAGTGAAAATAAATGCAGTATCAAGGAACATAGTTCTTTGATGCTATACTTTAATGAATAAATGCATTAAAAACTTAAGAGAAAGCAAATATGCACATAGAAGAATTTCAGGGGAAAATTGGCATATGTTAGTTTTCATCTAAATATGAGATTAGCAAGGTTTATCTGTCTGACCCCCACAAACTGTTTTCACACAGAACGAATAGATTTTACCCTGAAATGGAAGTTTAGATTTCTAGGTCAGACCATCCCCAAATGCCAGCCTTAATTCTATAAATTTCAGTAGGTTAGGGTTATTTTTTCAAATTAACCTCTAAAACTGAAGGTCAAATTCAATCTCCCTTGCTTTTCAGTTTATATAAAGCTATTTCACAGTGGGATATTATGGTCAAAGGCCCAACTTCTCCAAAGTCCTTACCTCGATGGTGATATTGATGCTGTGGATTTCCGAATGACTATTTCCATTACTTACATAAAAACTAAAGATATCATGAGTGGGCTCAATGCTTTCATGAACACTCTGAAAGTAGTAAATGTAGTTTTCCAGAATATCTTGAATTGGGAAGGATGCCTCTGGGTCACTAGTAGTTCCAGGGCCAAAACGATCACCTGCATCAACAAGAGAGAACTTTTACCTTGCTCCACCAATCCCTGATTCCCAGGCTGAATTGGAAAACATGACAGCATTATCAGCAAAAGATGAAGGCATGTGTGAGGATAAAGGCTGGGGTATGGAAGGAGCACAAGACCAGAAACTGGAAGACTTGGGGTTGGATTACTATTTCCCCACTATTTCTCATCTATAAATGGATACAGCTGCCCTGCAATTTCCACAGGGAATCAAATGCGGTAATATGCATGAAAGCACTCAGAATGTCACTATTTTATATAGCACAGAATCCATGGCTGTTTTGTTAGAAATCTTTGATAAAATAAATGCTGGGGCAAGTAATGACACAATAGAAAATGTTCTACCTTAAGCTTTAATCCATTTTAAGACCACTCTACTTGGCATATCCTGCATGAGGAACTCTCTTTCTCTACGTAAGGAAAGGTTGACTATATACCTATATATGTAAGAAACACTTCTTAAGCATGTTTTCATTTGACCTCTCAGTTCCTTAAGGAAACCTCAGTATGAATCAAAGTTCAGTCTTTGGGATGGTCCACCAGGGCTGCTGTGATGCTCAAAGGACCATCCAGAGTTCAGGTGCCATTCAGGTACTGAGATGCTCAAAGGACCATCCAGAGCTCAGGTGCCATTCAGGTACTGAGATGCTCGAGGACCATCCAGAGCTCCACAGGAAGTGCGGGCTCTAGCTAACTCTTCCTTTCATCCCAACCCCACAGTCTGTAAAAGACCCAGGGGAAGAGTAAGCACTGTCTACATGATGGATGACTTGCCTCTTACTTGGTCTGAGTTCTTCTGATTGATTTCAAATTGTTATCACATTTTCTTCTAAAAAACAAACAAAAAAAGGAAACCCCTGTGTCTTTAAACATTCCCTAGACATATCAACAAAGGAAAGTAGAGACAGAAGATCTGAAAGCAGCAAGGCCTTCTCTTTCCTTCTTTCATAGTCCTTTGCAAAGGCCAGGCCATATATTAAAAGGCCACTGACTTTCTGAATTGTAGACAGTGTCATTTTTGACCTCCCAACAGAAAGACTAGGAATTAAAAAGTTTTATTTATAATTTGTTTGAATTAAGAACTCAAGACAAATATTTTTTTTTCTTCAATGATGTAAATTTTCTGAAATTTACCCCTCAAATCTGATAGCTCTTGTCACCAGAAGCATAGAGGAGTCTAATCCCCAGGACGCACAGTTTACGGTTTCCAGAAGAAATGGCCATACGTCCTTCCAGTTCTTATTTTCTCTTCTCACTGATTACCAGTAAGGTGATAAAAGTGGCTTCATTATTTAGGTCAGAAATAGTCTGAATAAAGTAAATAATGCCTATAAATATATGCAAACAGAGTAATGATTTATTTTCTGTCACTGGAAAACAAGCCACTCAACAAGTGAATCTGTCACTGAAGCTCTCAGCATCAACCCTTCCGATTTTTAAAACTACACCTTTTATTTTTTTTCACAGAAACTGTTCTTCTGTGCTTCCTTTCCTTCTTAAAACAAATAGACTGTATGCAAATTAACTAGCTCTCAGTGCGGGCAGGCTATCACCATGAACATCTATTCCTGCATTGCACTGCAGCACAGTGGTGCCTAGAGGTAATCAAGGCGGATCCTGTCCTGGTTGTGCTGAATGAATGTAGACTCCAGGCTGTTAGAGTTTATATTTAACAATATAATTACTCTGTTCCTTCTGGTCTTGCTGGTAAGAAGTTTAAGCTGCTCCTTCTAATGTTTTTATGAAGACATTCTTCTGATCAGCTGCATTCTTAACCTAGGTAGCAAGTTTCATATGCATAAGACAGACTCAGTTCTTAATACCCATAGAGCAAAGGGAAGAATCCTTAAATGTTGTGCCTTGGGACAGTAATTCGCCCCCTGACCACCTCTTCCTTACTTCCAGCTTCACACTAACATAGAGCAGCAGTTTTCCAGGTGTGGCCCTTGCCCAGCATCAGTGGCATCGCCTGTGAGCTAGTGAGAAATGCGAATACATTGCCTCACCAGCCTCCTCCAGCAGGACCTCTGGTGGCTGCCCAGGAAGCTGTGCTTTCACAAGCCCTCCCTGTGAGTCTATGGACATTAAAATTTGAGAACCATCTTTAGAGAGGCTGAGGCTTGCCAGAAATTCGACTTCTGGACCAATGAAACACTCCTCTGCATGCATTCCAGGGTAACATAAAACCATGGCAGGAAGGCTTAATAAGAAACCATCTAGAGAGAAGAGAAGGCCAGAGGCAACCATCCTTGGCTGCTTCCCACCCTTTGTCCATGCTCTTCCCTCTGCGAGAAATGCCATTTTCCCTCTTCCCACAGCAACTCCCACTAACCCTTCAAGTTCCAACTCAAATGTCACTCCCTTAGACTTTTTCCTGCCCCCCCTACCCCGCCCTCCAGGCACAGGTAACTGTTTTGTTTTATGTACTTTCTCAGTGCTTTGCTCCCTTCCCTGTACTGGCATTTTATGTGTTGTGTAATGTATCAGTCATCCTATCTGTCTCCCACTCAGGGCAGAGGCTGTGTCCTATTCATCTTTACATCCATTGTGTCAAGCATAAGCATTTGTGAAGATAAATCAAATTCAGTGATAAACAAAGCGAAGTGCACACACTGAAAGATGGGGAAAAGACCCAAGGTTTTCTATAGGAGCTCATGGTCTCTGCAAAATCAGTTTCCTGTAACCAGCTTCAAATCTCAGGCACCACGCTGGCCGCAAACACCTTCACTCAATGGCCTCTCTGTGGGAGCTTCTAGCTGCATGCCAATTAGAGCCAAGTGCTGCCTCATTCAGGAATCTCACTGTAACCTGACAGGGGCTATCTCAGCTGCCAGTCACTTCGGTCTCAGGGGGCCTGTGCATGGTACACATCTCACTTCTCCTCTGTGATAACCACCAAGGGTGGTGGATCCAACCAGATGGTGGCGGGGAGGGAGGCTGAGGAGGGTCACAGATAGCCACGCACACATTTTAATTCATGTCATATCTTTAGAAGGAGTCGAGACATAAGCTATGGTTCTTCTAAACTGCTGCTGCCTCACAATAAAAGGGCAGAAATTTCATTTCCTTGACACTCAATTCTGAGTGTAATCCACAAGGCCCTCTACCCCTACTGCTAGGACCCTGCTCTATTTTCCTCCCATAGGGCTGATTTACCTCCTAACATCTTGCAGGATTTTCTCATTTGTTAAGTTTCTTATTTGACTCCTCCCCTTTTCTCCCAGGACCTAAGGCACCATGAAGGTAGTGGTTTCTGGCTGTTTTGTTTATTGATATGTCCCTAGTGCTTAAAAAGTGCCGGGCCCACAGAAAATGCTCAGTAAATTTCTGGTGAGTGGATGAAAACTTCCTTCGTTCCATTTCTTTGAAATGGTTCCATTCCTCTTTAGTTGCCCATGTCCAGTTTTAATCAGAGGTGGTTACCCCTCCACCCCACTCCTTTCAATTCTACAGCAAAGCTCCCGCGGTACCTGTTCCTGTGTTCTCAATGCAGCCGTACTTGGGCAGAGCACTTAGTCTAATGACGGCATCGCCCTGGAGGTTGTCCTGATCTTCAGCAGCAAAGAAATGGTGAAATGAGAGTGGAGTTCTCCCTCCCTCGTCAACCTGAGAAAGAAAAGATTGCAGAGAGAGTCCTTGGGCGGATGCAGGCAACTGCACTGCGGTAAAAAGAACTGAATTGCAAAGTGCCGCCTGGGGTGACCTTCTGGCACCAATTTCACTTCTTTGAGGAGGCAGATCCTCCACAGACGAGATGAGGAATGTGCACGCTGCTGAGGCCAGGCAATCTCTCAGCACCTTGCAAAGTGACATTCAGACACAATGACTCGAGTGTCTCCCTTCAAAGCCGTGCTTCCTTCTATGATGGATCTGGTTATAAACCGGTTCTGGCCCACTCCAATCACCCACCTTGCACACCTACATACAGGACGCTGCCTTCCTCCCATATCAACATTCAAAAGCCCACAGCTAGAGAGTGATCATCCAGTCCTCCCCGGACACCGTCAGGGGGACTGTCCTACACGTGTTCCCACGCAGAAAAAAAGTCCTGTTTATTCCTTTACAGTACATATTTGCCAGGCTCAAGATATCTCAAAGCTAGTGCTTATCTTAATGTCAATGAGGACAATAAATCAGTGGAAGTAAAAGCAGTTGCTCGCACTAACTTTCTCCTTTGGGGCCCTGCTTTGCACGCTCACGCTGCAAGCCCAGTCTGGTGTGTTTTGCTAGCCTGCTGGATATGACCCTGGCTCTGGGAATGGGAAAAATGCAAATGGCTGCCCCAAGGTGTGGAAATGGGAAAATGGGCGGAACATCAGAATCATTTAGAAACAGCTCAGTTTGATCAATTTTGAGTCGCTCAATAGAAAACAGAAAAGCTCCTGAGTTTTTGGCATGATGGTACGTACAGAGAGCAGGATGAGGAAAGTGAATTAACTTTTATGGAATTCCTACACCATTGCCAGTACTGTACTGTTTTTTAAAAAAATGGTATTTTATTAATCATCAAAGCAAACTTCTAGAATTACTCATATTTTAAAGATGGGGAAGTTGAGCCCTAACCGGTTTGGTTCAGTGGATAGAGCGTTGGCCTGCAGACTGAAGATTCCCAGGTTCGATTCTGGTCAAGGGCATGTACCTTGGTTGTGGGTGCATCCCCAGTGGGGGGTGTGCAGGAGGCAGCTGATTGATGTATCTCTCTCATCAATGTTTCTAACTCTCTATCCTTCTCCCTTCCTCTCTGTAAAAAATCAATAAAATATATTTTTTTAAAAAGATGGGGAAGTTGAGGCAAGAAAGATTACATAACTGGCCCAAGGTCACTCAGCTAATAAGTAACAGGACAGGCACTTAAATTCATGTCTGTGTAACTTCATGATTAGGATTTATTATCTAACTGCCTCCCATAGCCTTCCCACTCCATGGAACTGTTAACACGGTATAAACAGTGATAAGTATCAACTTAATTTAAGGAGTGACTTAGGGGAACATTTTCCATATCCCCATGTTTTAGTTGCTGCAAACATTAGATTATAAACTCCTTAAAGATATATCCCATTTTTAATTTTGCTCCCTCTTCTATACACAGCTAGGGTTTATGTCTGGCACATAAATATGTGTTGACTACACAATGTCGATATAATGATTTGATTTTTTGCATACAATTATTTTCTTACTTTTTGATGATTGAAAAGAATGCATATCTTGATACTATTGCCTGGAAACCTTGCGGGAAGAAGTTGGCAGCCAATTTATCAGAAAGAAATCCTTCATTTACATTCATTCCCACATATTCCAGCTCTCTGTAGCACTCGATGTCTATTGATCTGAAAATTGTTTACCGTGATCAGGTCAGCAAAGGCAATGACTGGAGGTGGATTCTTGACAGGAGTGATCATGATGGTGAACATCTGATTTTCCAGTCGGTTGTGGTCCATATCAGACACAGAGAAATGGAAGCTATCCGTGACCAGCTGACCCTCGGTCTCAAACACGGCTGAGTACCTACAGAGGCCAAAAGAAGAATCAAGTGAATGAGCTACACTGAGAAGCCAAGTAAATGAGTGCATCTTTGTTTAAAAATGGGGCCAGGCCCTAGCTGGTTTGGCTCAGTGGATAGAGCATCGGCCCATGAACTAAAGGGTCTTGGGTTTGATTCTGGTCAAGGGCATGTACCTCAGTTGCAGGCTTGGCCCCCAGCCCCGGTCGGGGCAGGTGCAGGAGGCAACTAATCGATAAGTCTCTCTCACATTGATGTGTGTGTGTGTGTGTGTGTGTGTGTGTGTGTGTGTCTCCCTCCCTTTCACTCTTTCTAAAAATCAATGGAAAAATATCTTAAAGTGGGGATTAACAACAACAAAAAAATGGGGCCAGAAGCAATATAATCTTTCAAGGGAGTTACTGTTTAGTTATTAACTTTTTAAAAATTTTGTTCCACATCTTAAAAAAAGTATTGAATTTATTGGGGTGGCATTGGCTAATAAAATTATATGGGTTTCAAGTGTACAGTTCTATAATACATCATCTGTATATTGTACTGTGTGCTCACCATCCGAAGTCAAGGTTAACTTTTTTATATTAAAAATTTTTAATGTTGACATTATTGCAGGTGTCTCCCTTTATACCATTTAAAAAATCCTGTCAGGTAATACAAAGTGGTTACATACCTAATTTTCTGGTTGTTGATATCTCCCATCGTGAAATTGGCAACCTCTGAGATTTCTTCCACTTCAAGTCCTGAGGTTCTTAAAAGAGTCCCGTACATGGGCAGAGAACTTAATTGAATCCAGATCTCGGAGTCGGGGGAAGAATCATCCTAATCAGGCAAATATGAGGGAAGACAGGAATGCACATTTGCAGAAATAAATACTCCAGTAGTTAAAGATCAGGGTGATTCCTGCTCTGCTAATTGGACGTCTCTTTCTCTTTGTGACAAAGCAACACCATTTCAAGCTGCAGGAAAATCCCAGTACTCATTCCTCCTAAATGCCTCTTTGATAATCTCTTTTTTCAAGAGTAGCTCAAGATACCAGTGGGGAAATGCTCGTTCAGCATGGGGCATAAAACTCTATTGTTACTAGACGAGCCACACAAGGTCTTGTTTTTATTACAAGCATCTAGTGAAGAACAAAACAGGGTCAGAGATAAAAGTCCTCTTTCTGAAAACACAGTTGTAGGCTTCTTCTAGAGTTTCTAAGAATGATTTTCTTTTTAGAAACAGGTAAAATTCTCTTATAATGTTAATACAATGATAAAGAAAATTCTGCAAAACAGAGAGAATGAAAGTTACTTAGCACAGCCAATGACTCACTTTAATGTTCAACATGATAAAATTTTTAGTTAAATAGAATTTAGGGAATGTTATGGGTTTCATCCATTCAGGACTGAAAAGACCATTTCCTTTTTCCTTCTCAATTGCTTAGCAGGAAATAAAATTGGCTTTCTGTGTTTCTACATGGACAACAATTGAATGTCTTAATGAACAATTTCCTCTTTCTTCAAGGATATTTTTGGGAATATCTAGAAGATAGGCAACATCTTCTTGAAAGGTTTTCTTGGAAGTCACTCATCTTTCAGAGCACTTGATGAGAACACAGGGGCACTTTACACTCTACCATAGCAACAGTGAAGGTCAATATTGCATAGTTGGGTGTACTCTCAAGTGCAAATGTTCACAGCTATGTTGTACAGTTAGCTGAGGTCCTGGGCAGAAATGTGAGCACGGATAGGTGGTGATCTGGTGGTTTTAATCAGTTCTCATTTCTAGCCTCAGAGGCCTTTTTAAGTTGGCTGTTCAGAGCCTCAAGGCAAGATCACAGAACTTTCCAGATTTCCTCACATCTTTTGACACTAGCAAGAGAGGAAACTCAAATTCATTGAGACTGCAACACTTCAGAAAATTTCCCCTAAATTTATGCTTTAAAAGTTTCTCTATTTTTCCACATGGGGTGTCAAATACAATATACAGACTTCCAAAAGACTACCTCTTAATTCAGTGATGGCAAACCTTTTGAGCTCGGCGTGTCAGCATTTTGAAAAACCCTAACTTAACTCTGGTGCTGTGTCACATATAGAAATTTTTTGATATTTGCAACAATAGTAAAACAAAGACTTATATTTTTGATATTTATTTTATATACATAAATGCCATTTAACAAAGAAAAATCAACCAAAAAAATGAGTTCGCATGTCATAGGTTCGCCATCACCGTCTTAATTACTGTGAGTATTCCCTAAAGTGAATTTTAAAAAGGCAGCTGAGAGTTCTAAATATTGTCTTCCAGAATGGCAATGGAGTACAAGGACAGAGCTCCTGACTTTAAATTCCTCACTGGCAAATTTGGCAAAGAAATACTTTTTTCATGTCTGGCACATCTTATTATAATGTTTCCAATCTCAAACAGCTGCTGGGTTTGAAAAAGTGTGAAGTCAGCTAGATTTTTTTTTTTCTGAAAATACTGTCATAATTTAAAGAAATTACTATTTTGGTATATCCACGACACTGTAGGTGCAAAAATTTCTAAGTCCTGCCGGCATGGCTCAGTGATTGAGCATCAAGGTATGAACTAGGACAGTGATGGCGAACCTTTTGAGCTCGGCGTGTCAGCATTTTAAAAAACCCTAACTTAACTCTGGTGCCGTGTCACATATAGACATTTTTTGATATTTGCAACCATAGTAAAACAAAGACTTATATTTTTGATATTTATTTTATATATTTAAATGCCATTTAACAAAGAAAAATCAACCAAAAAAAAATGAGTTCGCATGTCACCTCTGACATGCGTGTCATAGGTTCGCCATCACTGAACTAGGAGGTCATGGTTCAATACCCAGTAGGTGGTGTGCAGGAGGCAGCTGATCAATGATTCTCTCTCATCATTGACATTTCTATCCTCTCTCCTCTCCCTCTCTGAAATCAATAAAAAAAAATACATTTAAAAATTTTATAAGAATATAGAGCTTTTTATGAACTGCCAGGGTCCTGCCCCAGCAGGTCCAGGGGTCCCCAAAGGCGTAGATGGAGTCGGCGAAGAAGGAATGACACGGAGACAGCATTCAGTTGATCAGCAGCCTAGCCAGGATCTCTAGCCAGGATCTCTAGCCAAGTTCTGTTCAGGATCTCCGGCGAATTTCTGGTCAGGATCTCCAGCAAAGTTCTGGTTAGGATCTCCAGCCAGGTTCTCCAGGTTCTCCAGCCAGGTTCTGTAGCCATGTTCTCTTGCTAGGTTCTCCAGGCAGGCTCAGTAGCCATGTTCTGTAGCCAAGTTCCCTCGCTAGGTTCTCCAGCCAGGTTCTGTCCAGGTTCTCCAGCCAGGTTCAGTCACCAGGTTCTAGTCAGGTTCTCTTGCCAATTTCTGTAGTCAGGTTCAGTCCAGGATCTTTTGCCATGTTCTCTCGCTAGGTTCTGTCTCTAGGTTCTGAGGCCAGTTTCTGTCCAGGATCTTTTGCCATGTTCTCTCCAGCGAAGTTCTTCTGTCTCTAGGTTCTGTGTAGGTTCTGTCTTCTTAGTTCTGTGTTCTAAGCTCTGTATTCTAAGTTCTGACTCTTGCTGTCTTGTTACATCTGTATTTATACCAGTTGATTCAATCCTATCAATCTCTTTTCCAAAGGTTAGGGTGTTTCTTATCTCCATTCCAGGGAGTAAAGATTATGTAGCTTAAGCATGATTGTTCCTAGTTAAAGTGATTAATTACCCGCCTGGCACTTAGTTAAGAGGTTTTATACCCTCCCTAACTTCAGGGGAAAATCCCTACCTGGGGAAACAACCTTTCTCAGAGAGAGACCTTGGTTAAAACACATACTGCCAAGAAGGTGAGGAAACATATTAAGAACAGTATGCCATATATGCCAGGTCCCTTGAAACAGCAAGCATGGACTGGCTCCCGGCAATAGAGCTTTTTATGAACAAAAATAGATACAGAGGCAGAGCAGCCTCAAACAGACTATCAAACTACATCGGGAAGGCCGGGGAGGGTTGGGGGGCGAGGGGGGGGGTGTTAGAGATCAACCGAAGGACTTGTATGCATGCATATAATCATAACTAATGGACATAAGACACTGGTGGGTAGGGGAGGCCAGGGGTTTGTCAACGGCGGGGGAAGAAAAAAAGGAGACATATGTAATACTCTTTGTAATACTTTAAGCAATAAAACAATTAAAAAAATAAAGGAGCTTCTGCAATTTAAAAAAAAAGAATATAGAGCTTGTTCTCATGTAACTTTTCTACTTGAAGACCTTCTTACCCCTTCTGTATTAATTCATTTTGTCATTTTCTTTTTATTATTTATAAATCTATTATCTCCCGTTGATTCAACACTAGGACTAGTACTTTGATGATTAATATTTGTCTATGTGTTTTTCCTCTATCCTGTCATTGGGCCTACCATTACCCTGAATCTTGTTTCTTATTTCTTAGAATTTTGCAATATAATTTGATATATTACTACAAAATATTTTAGTGGTTTTTTTTATATTTATGAAAGGCAGTTAGACTCTCCTTTTGTGGGATTTATTTTTCTTTTTATTTAATAGTGGAGTGTTAAGAGCCATCAATTTTGTTTTGTGTAGCAATTTTGTTTAAGAAATAATTCATCTGTTTTGAGTGTTCTTTAATATTCCATTGAGTAAATATACTGCAAGCTATCTGTTATCCTGGCGATAGGCATTTGGCTTGTAATAGATAATATTGCTATGAACATTCTTGTGCATATTCTTTAGTATAAATGTGTAAGTTTCTCTTGCATAGGAATCTAGGAGTGAAAGGGTTAAGGTATATTATCACCCCAAAATGGTCACTCCAGTTTATACTTCCATGAGCAAAGTCAAAAACCTTCCTTAGACCAATTTCCTAACGGTTGGTATTGTCAGATTTTTAAATTTCTGCCAATTGAGTTGGTATAAAATGATATGTAATCTGAACTTGCTTTCCCTAATGACAATAAGGTGAATATCCCTTCTGAGATTTACTGGCCCTATGATTCATCTTCTGAAATTCCTGTTAATGTCTCTTGTTCATTTTCTATTGGATTAGCTTTGCTTTTTCTTTTTGACTTGCAGATATTGTTTATCTTTTCTGTGTTATTTTTGGTTATATGTGTTACAAATACCTTTTCCCAATTTTTAACTTGTCAGTTTTTTATAATTATAGTGTGTTTTAGGAAACATAAATTTAATTTTAATATAGTCAAATTTATCAATCTTTTCTTTATAGTTTCTAGTTTAAGAAATTCTTTCCCAATATCATAACAAATATATTCACCTATATCCTAAAAAGAATTATAAAATTTTGCTTATGATACTTAAGTAAGTGATTTGCCTGGAGTTAATATCCGTGTAGGGTGTGAGTACAAGTTCTTTTGTTTTTCCACATGAGTACTCATTTGTGCAGTTCCATGTCTTAATCAGTTTCTCGTTTCCACAGAACTAGCTTGCTGCATCCATTTTATATTGTCCCATGTGTGGGTCTGTTTCTGGGCTCTTCAGCATATTCCTGTGCTACACTGCTTTAAACAGTGCAGTTTCATAATAAAGCCTGATATCAGATAGGGCAAATGCCTACCCTCCTATCATTCTTTTTCAGAATTTTGGCCCTTTCTTCTTCCTTATATATTGAAGAATCAGCTTATCAAAAGCCATAAAAAGGCTACTGGGCTTTTGATTGGATCTCAGCGGAATAGAAAGATCATTTTGTGGGAAAACTGATAACCTTTTTGATACAAAATCTTCTTATTCATGAAAATGGAAAACACATAATTTATTTAGTGTTTTTTAAAATGTCTGTCAGTAAAGTGATAAATTTTCCCTGTGAAAGAAAGGCCTGTTTTTTGTTAGATTTTGTCCAATGGACATGATTTTTGTAATGCTATTATAAGCTATTTTTAGTTACATTTACTGGCTATTATTTGCTTATGTATAGCAATGCTATTGTTTTATTGATCTTCTATCTGTCTTTTTGGTAAATTCTTTTATTTCTAATACTTTGTCAAGAGATTCTTTTGGATTTTCTTTATAATAAGTCATAGCATTAATTATCCCTAGAATTATGCACCTTTTGTTACATTTATCCCTAGACATGTATTATACAATATTATTATAGATGGTATCATATTTGAATTATTGTAGTTTTTAATGTGTTTTTATTAGGTTGTTGTTTTTTACAGAGAGTGGAAGGGAGAGGGAGAGAGAGAAACATCGATAAGTGAGAAACAGATTGGCTGCCTCCTGCACGCCCCCTACTGGGGATCAAGCCCGAAACCCTGGCATGTGCCCTCACTGGAAATCGAACCAGCAACCTCTCTGGGCATGGGATGACAACCAACTGAGACACACTGGCCAGGGCTGAATTATTGTAGTTTTGGCTGGTACATATAAACACCATTAACTTTTTAAGATCAATCTTATATCACCCTCCCCATATTGCAGATGAAAAAAACTGCGCTCTAGAGAGTTAAGTAACTTGCTAAGGATTACTATGCCAGTAAGTGGTGAGCTTAGATTAAAACCCATCTGTTCTAACTACAAAATCCATAGCATCCCTCCCCTACTTGTTTACTTGCAGTGCACATAAACGGTGTAAAAGAACCACCATTAATAAGCAAGTCACATAGAATCCCATTTCTGCCTTTTGTCTCTCCTGACATCCCATTAATGAACTCTAATTAAGAATAGGCTCACCTGCTCCTCTCCCTTTATATTCTGCTTCATTAATGATCAGATTCCATATGGCTTTTCCAACCTTTCTGAATGTTCACTGCACACTTACTAACTATGCATATCTAGAAAAAATTTTCCCCATTATACTAAGTATAAAATTCTTCTACAGCCCTCAGAGAAAGTTAGTATATGCTTTAGCAAAGTCTTTAAAATATGCTATGCTTTCGGCAGGCTAGGACAGTTCTTTAGGAGTCTTTCTGCTCTAGTGGGTAAATTCGCATTCAATCAATTTCTGAAAATGCACGTTCAGTTGCCAATGGGCTTGCATTTTTGATATGCAGCTTATAATACGCAGTTAATGGGCAGGAACTGCTCCTGGAGTGCAATTTTGGTCTGTCAAACATTTTTCAAGCCTTAGTGATCTATTGATTAAATCTGTATTCATACATTTTTTATGAATTCATGAGTTTCATACAATTTAAGACCATAACCTATGGTAAAAATCACCTGTCAATTAAAAAACAAAACAAAATCAAAACTGTTCTGAAACTGTACCAGACCCAAGAGAAGAATAGGACGGAATACAGTTTCCCATCATTTCAGAAGAGACAATCTGAGGGGGAAATTTGTGCAAAAGCAATTGAAGAAATTGTTCCCAGGCCAATGCTTCATCTTTCATACAACTACTTAGGACTAGCTTTTATAGCCAGACTCTTCAGCCCAGTAAAGGATTACTTAAAACTACATAATTTTTTTTTTTTTTTTAGAGGTTGCCATGGCCGGGTGGCTCAGTTGGTTGGGGAGGCGTCCCAATACATCAAAAGGTGGCAGGTTCGATTCTAGATCAGGCCACGTACCCAGTTTTCTGGTTTGATCTCCGGCTGGGGCAACCAATCGATGTTTCTCTCTCTTATCTCTCTCTCTCTCCTCTCTCTCTCTCTCTCTCTCTCTCTCTCTCTCTCTCTCTCTCTCTCCCCTCTCTCTAAAAAGATCAATTGAAAAAAGAAAAAAGGCCAGGTCATTGCTTGGAATTTTAAGACTAGTAGAGGAAAAATTCAATATTAAGAATGACTACCACTCAGATAATCATTCTTATTGTCAAGACATTTGTCAAAACTTCTCATTATTATGTTTATATTGAGAGTTCATATCTGTTTACAACATACATAATTGAAAAATAAAATGAATGATCCTCATTCCTTAACACTAGAGGTAAAATCAAAGAAAGAAGATGAGTTTTAATTAACAAGAATTATTATCAAGTTAAGGTCAGATGAGGAAAAAAACAAACTAGAGTTCCTGAGCTTACCCTTGTCCCCCAACCACCCTGCTTCTCTCGGGGAATGGACTGGAGGCGGAGTCCGGAACTTGCCCAGGAGGCCTGGCAGAGAGGCACTGCCAAGGGGTGAGCCAGTGCTCTGTCTAGCGCTGGACCTGAGACCAAAGCTGGTGAAGAGTGGGCTTTCTCTTAGAAAAGTGGGCCATGAAACTTCATTACCTATTAGTCACCGACCAGGGAAGTTCTTCTGACATGCTCTTTCCATAACATTCTCATTGGAAACATTATGGATGGAGCTTAAAACGTGGGGACTTGGGCTTTTCTGACATTGGTAATGTTTCCTGTTGACAACCACCCGTCCTTTCACATGCACATTGTGTGATCATCAAGGTTTGCCCATTCACTTGTCTGTGCATGAGACACCGAGAGCTGTTGGGATAAAGAGTGTAACTATTCCAAAGAGCAGAGCTATAGGGAAGTTGAGAAAAAGTTCTTCATATGGCCATCTACCTGACACCCCAGATACTCAGTCATGGCACTGCTCACTGGTCAGCCCAGTCAGAGGGCACAGAGAAGAGGAAGGCAAGTGTAAGCACTTACGATGTAAGCAAGGTGAGATCTCGTGATTACAGCTGTGCTTTCACTAGCAACGGTCATGCTCAGAGAGGCACCGGCAGCCAGCCGAGGCGCTGGGGCCCCTGACAGGGACACCTCCACTCTCACGTCCACGGTCATCGCTGAGAGGCCGTCTGTGACCAAGATCTCCAGGCTGTCCTCCCGCGCAGAGGAGCCGTCGTGGAGATACTGCAGCACATTTTTCTCAATATCCTCATATGTGAAAGTGTCACCTTTTAAGAATAAAACAAATTACAGAACCAATTACTTCTGGGAATGACGCTTTTCATTTATATAACACCTTTGATCTCAGTATTTCAAAGCACATATAGGATCACAAACGGGGAGATGGAAGCTAATTAGTCCAGCCACCCACCCACCCAATATAGAATTCCCTTTACACTACCCTTGAAAAAGGTATTTAGCCTGTCCTTCAACACTTCTCAAGGTGAAAGTCTCACTATTTGACAAGGTGGCTCATTCCACGGGAGGAAGCTCTACTGTTTGTTTTGTGTGTGTTTTTTTTAAAAAATCTGCCTCTATAAGATCCATTCATCACTCTCAGGTCTAGAGAATAAAGGACAAGCCTTTATTCTTTATGACAGTTCTTCTAGTACCTAATCTTGATATGGAAAATTTTTTGAACAATAAAATAAATTATGCTTAATGAACCTGTAAGAGGTCTTTGTTTTAATTGAGAGTATAAGCTGTTTTTTTTTTTTAATTAAAAAATATCTAAAAATTTAAAAATGTACTTGAAGTTAGAAACTTAGTCTGGAGCACTAATTCATGATAGATTTGATATGTGCTGTGTGGAAAAGGTCATATTAGTTTAGGAAAAATAGATTTAAACAAAATTTAAAATTAAAAACTTTTTTTCTTATTTTATCTATTTATCCATTCATTTATTATTTTTCCCATCACTATTTACCCTTTTCCACTCCCCCGCCCCTGCAATCACCACGCTGTTGTCCATGTCCATGAATTTATCTCTCCTTTTTCTTTTTTGCTCAACCCCCCTCCCACAAATTCCTCTAGCCATAAGTTTGTCCCTATTTTGCTTGGTAGTTCAGTTTGTTCATTAAATTCCACATATGAGTGAAATCAATATGGTACTTGCCTTTCTCTGACTTTTAAACTGCAGGATTTATGAGAATTTTAGAATCCATAATGTACAATATGAAAGCTTCTCAAAACTGTTTGGTCAAGGATCCCTTTTTTACCAGAAATGCCACTTAGTGTCCGGGGTCCCAACAATCCCACAGACCACAGTCAAGGAACTGGTCTTCTTGGGTGTTATATTCAACTCCCGTTCCTGATAGATTATTGGCTCTCATAACTGGTGTGATGTAATTAAACTAAAGAATTTATTCATGCTCTGTATTAGTCTTCTAAGCCTTCTCTTTCAACACTGTGTTACGGTGATTTACTGGTGCTAGTGGTGGTGTGCTTAAAAAAGTAATAAAACTGATAAGTTTATTGTAATACATTAAAAAGAACATTTTACTAACATCTTTGGATCTCTATGTTAATTACACAAATATAGGTGAAATAGGATGTTCACGAAACTGGGCTATGACTATTATGCTCCTAAAGTAGTTCCCTTAGGATCTACTATCCTAATATCCTTTTTTTTTTGTTCAGTAAATTTGTGAAAAATCTGCCTTTGTGACTCCCAAATGCCTACTGCTTGTTCTCACAAATCCAATCTACCTTCAAGGTCAAACACATGCCCCCTACCTCTGCAGGGATATTCAGAATAATGCATCTTTACACGACAACTAGGAATTATATGAAGGTTTTGAGAAAGTACAGACTGTCAGAATAAGCACAGAGCATCCCAAGGTGACAACTTTCAAGAAGGTAATATCTACTTTGATATATAAGGGATGACTATTAAAAATTAGATTTAGTTATATTCTTTGTGCTTTTCTATACTTTCTAAACAATATGTGTTATTTTTTATAGCTGGAGAAAGTGCAGTAAATATTATTTTGGAAAGCTGGTCACATCACCACACTGTTATACGGCATAAATACTATTTTAAAAATGTGTTCCCTTTTTTTTATGAAGATACACGTAGTTGACACTATCGGAATCGCAGTGCTATAAATACTGTGAAGATTTACATATCATAGTAAGGAAACAAATTCATGCCCATGAACAACCTATCAGAGAGTGGCAGCTGACAACTCCTATGAGGTTGTTCTGAATGCATTTACTCCAGGTTTCAAAAATCAACCAATTGCACCTACAATTTGAGGAAACATCTTCATAGTTTTGGGCATGGGAGGTGGCACAGAGAAGTCCCAAATATTTCAGCTGATGAACTAAACACTAATTTTCCCCCTTTCTAAGTTATCTCCCCATAGTTTGTCCCACAAAACTGCTGACTTATTGTCTGAGACACATAAAACTGACTGCAGAGCAAGAAATCCTTCGATGACAGAGTGAGCAGCTACCTGGGGCCATGGGCCCTAGGAACTCAGCTGTGTCCTTAAGGAGTACGCCGTGCTCGGGCGGTTTCCGAAGCTCAAAGAGGAGTTCTTCAGGCGCTGTCTCAGTGTCTCTTATTACCACCTGCAGCCCTGCGGTCAGGAGAATAAAGCCTGGTGAGAAGGTGTGTACATTAAAAACTGTATTCTCTGTGTACACTGAAGCCACAGGCCAGGCTGGAAGCCATGTTGTGGGTAATCTGATAGTTATAAGAAAGCACTGTTTAACCCCCATCAACCACAAAGGAGTGAAAACTGATAATACAGTCAATTCCCAAATTACAAGTAGATTCTTCCACAAGTTAACTTATAAGTAGGTAGTTCTGAATGCAGACACCATTTTTATTTCCACACAAATGAAGGTATGGAAGTCCACATAAAGGTCAGGTTTACCTGACTAGCTCGGGTAGGTTTTCTTCCAAAAAATACTCCCAGAAACTAACTTTGTTTTAAATTGTTTCTCTTCTTCTTTCTCTGAATCTACATAAGAGCCAAGTTATTTTAACAATAGTTGCTCCTGCCCTCAGTGGAGTGAGAAGTAGGGTGAAAGTGACAGTTGTTTGTAAGTTGGATGATAATTAATTTTAGGCCAATACCCACATGTAGAAACTGAATAAGAATCTGCACTTAGGATGTTCTTGGCAAAAGAATACACTTCTAAAGAGTGAGTATAGTAATAGATAAATCACATACAAAAGAACTGGGCCAACACTAACTCTTCACAGCTTCACAAGGTTACTGTGATCTGTCATTTCTCCCGTTACTCTTTACTTTCTAAATAGGAAATGAAGGAAGTCATTGAAAAGGCTCCCCCCTATTCTCTCTGCTCTCTGTTACTTTATATTTTAGTGATGGCCACAAATCAGTCTCCTGGAGGCTGGACAATAAATTCTGTGTTGTATTCCATCCCTGAGCATTGGCCTCTGAAGGGTTTATTGCCTTCTCTCTGTGCTGTTTCTATTTTCATGGAAATGGGCAGAGGGAAAGATATAGATGAGGAGCAAGTACCTTCTGGAAGAGGAGGTTGTTACTTTTTGGTAAGCATCAAGAGGTTTGAACAGGAACGATTGCTAAAGTAAGGTTCCATTTTGAGAGCCATGCTTCTTTCCAGCTCCCAGTTCTTACCTATGGAAGTTCTGCCTCCTGGGCTGACCTTGAGTATTGGAGCTGTGACCTGGAACACTGGGGGGTGCCGATCAGAGTGAAGTAAGTGAATGGTGAGAGCCATCTCTGGACTCGTGTGTTCTCCATCCGAAACTAGAAAGGTACACACACATAAATCTGCTGTAGGCTGGTCACCTTCAGGCTATTTCCATAAATGTGTAGCCAGAGTTTTTTAGATTACCATAGCACTTTGAAGAGATGCTGACAAATGGGAAAAGTGAGTAAGCAAGATACTGTGAGCTATTCTAACAAAACCTTTTCTAGGGGATAACAAAAAGGGTAAAGGGCCATAACAACAAGTTCATTCTAAGAAGCAAGTTTCACAACAATGAGATATTGATAAATGTTAGTGGAAAGAAAAATAATACAAAACTTGTACCCTTATATGATGTTGGTAAAGGCTTTTACTTATGGGATTATTTTTTAATTAAATTCATTCTTCCAATGTTCCAGGGAAAGATTTTTTTTTCAAGAAATCTCGAAGAGAAACTAAGATGGCGGCATAGGTAAACACCGGGAAATTGTCGCGTCACACAACAATTGAAAATTACCGCAAAGGACGGAGCAAACATCATCCAGAACAACAGAAAGGCTGGCTGAGTGTAAATTCTACAACTAGAAGGAAAGAAAAGCACGCTGAGAGCCAGAGGCGCTGCGGAGGTGAAGTGCAGAGGTACGGCGGCTCGCGCGCGCGAGGAAAGGGGGTGGCACCTGAGGACGCGGCTGTCTTTTTGAATCACAAGCTCCCGACTGCTCTGAACTCCGGTTCCGGGAAGTCTCTGGGGACCCAGGACCCATACGGGGAGAAGCTGGTCTGTCCGGCAGCGGGCGAACTTGAAGGCAGCTTTCCCTCAGAGGTGCTTGCAGCAATTAGCGGGTCACTGAGACCCGAGACTCCGGGCAGAGAATCAGCCATAGCTCCTTGATCTGCCCTTTGATTCCCTGAGACCCCGCCCCACCCAGGCTGCGGCAGAGGCTTTTGCATGTGAATGTACCTAACTGCAGCCGAGCCAGGCAGACCCGGAACTTCCAAGAGAAGGCCCAAGGCCCCGCAGCAGCTTGCATTGCTTCACAGCTGAGCCTCTTCGTGGCTCCTGCTGTGTGGCCTCAGGCAGAGGCTGAATTAGCACCTCCTTAGATCCAGGAGCCACTGTACCCAGTGGTCAGAGGGGGACCATCCAGACTGCAACTCCTCAGATCCATAAGGGACACACTCAGGGAGCAGACTCAGTGAGCACCAAAGCCCCACTGAAGCAAGTCTTGCCCCAGAAGGGTGTCTTCAGCACAGAAGTTCTCCCACTTTAGACACAGCTGATTCTCACAGCCAATTGGCCTGGAGGTCAATTCCTCCCAGTGATTCTACAACAACCAAGGCACCAAGAGTGCACCAAGAGTGTCCACCCCAGGTAACTGGGGAGGCTGAGCTACTGGGCCCTACAGGACACCTGGCGCGCAGGGCCACTCTATCAACACAGGGAAGCTGCCAAAATGCAGAGACAAAGAAACAGGTCACAAAAGGCAGAAATGGAGGAAAGCAAATGATTGGATATAGAGTTCAAGGCCACGTTTATAAGGTTTTTCAAGAATTTTATGGAAACCGCCGATAAATTTAATGAATCCCTCAATAAGTATAGTGAGACCATGGAGGACATGAAAAAGGACCAACTAGAAATTAAGCATACACTGACTGAAATAAAGAATAATTTACAGAGATCCAACAGCAGACAAGAGGATCCCAAGAATCAAGTCAAAGATTTGAAATACAAAGAAACAAAAAATACCCAACCGAAAAAGAAAAAAGAAAAGAGATTCCAAAAATATGAAGATAGTGTAAGGAGCCTCTGGGACAACTTCAAGCGTACCAACATCAGAATTATAGGGGTACCAGAAGGAGAGAGAGGGCAAGATATTGAAAACCTTTTTGAAGAAATAATGACAGAAAACTTCCCCTACCTGGTGAAAGAAATGGACTTACAAGTCCAGGAAGTGCAGAGAACCCCAAACAAAAGGAATCCAAAGAGGACCACACCAAGACACATCATAATTAAAATGCCAAGAGCAAAAGATAAAGAGAGAATCTTAAAAGCAGCAAGAGAAAGACAGTCAGTACCTACAAGGGAGTACCCATATGACTGTCAGCTGATTTCTCAACAGAAACCATGCAGGCCAGAAGAGAGTGGCAAGAAATATTCAAAGTGATGAATAGCAAGAACCTGCAACCAAGATTACTTTATCCAGCAAAGCTATCATTCAGAATAGAAGGTCAGATAAAGAGCTTCACGGATAAGAAAAAGCTAAAGGAGTTCATCACCACCAAACCAGCATTATATGAAATGCTGAAAGGTATTCTTTAAGAAGAGGAAGAAGAAAAAGGAACTCTTACCATTTGCCACAGCATGGATGGAACTGGAGAGCGGAGAAATACCACATGATCTCACTCATTTGTGGAATATAATGAACAACATAAACTGATGAACAAGGACTGATCCAGAGACGGAGAGGCATTGATTGGACTGTCGGGACTTGGAGGGAAGGTAGGGGAGGGTGGGGGTAAGGGGGAAAGATCAACCAAAGGACTTATATGCAAGCATATAGGCCTAATCGATGGACATGGACAACGGGGGGGTGAGGGCATGAGCGGGGGGGGGGGGTGGGGGGGTAGAGGGTAACGTGGGGACAAGGACACATATGTAATATCTTAATCAATAAAAAATATATTAAAAAAAAGAAATCTCTTTTAGAAAGGACATGTCCATGTCTCCTTAGAAAATAACTTTTGAACAGGACAGAAAATGTCCATACAAACATCTTAAATGGCATTTGTTTGGAAGTAAGCAGACCCATTTTTACCTGGCTGTTATGCACAACACAATAAATGGAAGACACCTTTGTGAACAAAACAGTGACCTTAAGATTTATTTCCCTGGATTACCTGACAGCCAAGTGAATACTGATCACCTGAGGGAAATGAAAGCAGAATTGCCTGATCCTTGATTCATATTTCTACTTCCCCATAACTTAACACACCCTCGCTTCTCTAAAAGCCAGGAGGATTGCCTGCCCCACCAGCTCATTCATGTGTTTATTTGTAGTGGCAATTGAGAAAACTGCACTGTTGATTACTTTATTTTTATTTATTTTTTAACTTTATTTACTATGGATTATTTTAAATGTGTGCTATGTTTTCAGAATGGTTGGTTATAAGAAACTGGTTTCTTTCTTCACTTTCTTCTGAACTTAGTAACGGTCAATAGGAATCTGATCTGTATTTTTCCAAAGAAGACATACATAGGACAAACAGGTACATGAGAAGGTGTTTGTTAGGTCGGAGAGAGCCCAGGATCGGATACAGGCAGACTTGTGATGAGATAATGGACTCTCCCTGGCATTTCTAACAGATCAGCATGCCAGACACAGATACTGACTCCTTCCTGAATACCTTGCTAAACCCCAGCAGTGGGAACTTCCTCAGCTGAATACCTCAGCTCATGTCCCCGCCCCTCACCCAACTGCAGTATAAAAAAAGTGCCCCCCTCTCTGTTGGCGTGAATCCATGTGCCCTGTCCTTGGGGGTACGTGGGTCTCCCGGGGATGCAGGATAAACTTTCCTTCCTTCCTTCCTTTTCTGATCAACTCTCTTTATTTCCTTTGCCACCTCCTGAGCCACCTAACCTAAAAGTGTTCACATCACTAATCATCAGGAAAATGCAAATCAAAACCACAATGAGATATTACCTCACACCTGTGAGAATGGCTATTATCAAAAGCACAATAATTAACAAGTGTTGGTGAGGATGTAAGACAAAGAAAACCTTTGTGCACTGTTTGTGAGAATGTATATTGTTGCAGCCACCATGAAAAACAGTGTGAAGGTTCCTCACAAAATTAAAAATAGAATTATGATATGACTCAGCAATCCCAATTCTGGGTATTTATCTAAAGAAAAAATACAAAAAACGAAAACACTAATTTGAAAAGATATCTGCATCCCCGTGTTTACTGCAGCATTATTTATAATTGGCAAGGCATGGAAACAACCTAAGTGTCCATTAATGGATAAGTGGATAAAGAAAACATCATAATATATGTGATGGAATGTTATTCAGCCATAAAAAAGAATGAAATCTTGCCATTTGTGACAGACAACACAATGGACCTTGAAGACACACCATATGATTTCACTTACTATATATGTAGACCCTTAAAAATGAACAGATTAGTGGTTGCCAGAGGTAAGGGATGGGAGGTGGGTGAAATGAGTGAAGGTGGTCAAAAGGTACAAACTTCCAGTTATAAGATAAATAAGCCCTGAGGATGTAACGTACAACATGGTGACTATCCTATATAATAAAAGGCTAATATGCGAATTGTCCCCTCGACCAGGAGTTTGACTGGGAGTTCGTCCAGGGGGTGGGGCGGCCGGCCAACAGTCCGCGGCTTCTCCCCCTGGCCAGCCTACCCCAATTGTCCCGATTTGGGGGGGCCGCCTAGACCCCACCCATGCACGATTTCGTGCACTGGGCCTCTAGTAGTAAATAATACTGTATTGCATATGTGAAAGTTGCTAAGAGAGTAGGTCTTAAAAGTTAAGCATGAGACATCACACAAACAAAATGGAGGATAAAAACCACATAATCATATCAATAGATGCAGAAATGGCATTTTAAAAAAAATACAGCATCCATTTATGACAAAAACTCTCAGCAAGGTGGGAATAGAAGTAACATGACTCAACATAATAAAGGCCATTTATGACAAACCCACAGCCATACTCAATGGGCAAAAGCTACAAGCATCTCCTATAAGATCAGGAACAAGACAGGAATATCTGCTTTCATCACTCTTATTCAATATAGTACTGGAAGACCTAGCCACAGCAATCAGATAAGAAGAAGAAATAAAAGGCATCTAACTGTAAAAGAAGAAGTAAAACTGTCATTATTTGCAGATTATGAGAATCCTAAAGATTCCACCAAAGAATTACTAGAACTGATCAATGAATTCAGTAAAGTAGCAGGATGCAAAATAAATCAGTTGCATTTCTATACAACAACAATTAACTATCAAAAAGAAAAACTAAGAAAGCAACCCCA